GGATAAAACAAATTAGGATCAATTTTCCAATGGCGATCGTCTCGAGCAAGAGCAGATGATGGAATAAGTACTTGATCGCCTTTGTAAAGTCGAGTACCACTTGACGGAAGGCAATCATCGACAACTACTGTACGACTTGTTCCATCGGTTGTTGGAGAATAACGAAGAACTTCATTAATAAAACAATCCAAATAAACAAATGAATCAAGATGATCAAATGATAAATATTGTCCAGTATTATCATCTATCAATTCTTTCTTGATCTTTTCTTGAATACGAGGATGTTTACTTAGTTGATAAATACACCAAGCAAGAGCAGTCGATGTTGTTTCATAACCAGCAATTAAAAACATAAGCATCTCATCAAAAAGTTCTTTTCGGGAAATACCTATCAATTTTTTTTGATGATTTCTTAATAATTATCTATTTATATCAAAGATAAAGTTTACCTTTTTTGTCTTCTTCTTTTTTTACTGCTTCTGCTTTTTCATCTGTTTGTAATGAACTAACCAATGAAGCGATCAATGAAATTTTCTTCCGTTCTGTTCTCGAATCTAAGCTTTCAGTCAATTCTTGTTCTACCATATTATTCAAATACCGTTCGATGGTGGTGCGTGCTCGTTGATATCGAGGATTGTATTTTAAATAAGTAGTTGAAATGATACTAGGTGCGTAGGTAATCATTCGAAATACGTCCACAATATATTTTAGAGCTTCAGTCAGTTCATTCTTATTTTCTGAAAGATTCTCATTAATTGTTTCCAAATCGTAATCAAAAGCAATCATTCCAAAGACTTCAAGTAGAAGATTTTGACATTGTTCAACAATATCAGTATGCACATGTTCAGATGACTGAGTGCGCCACCGATCTAATAGTTTGTCCGTTCCATCAATAATTATATTTATATTCGAAAGAATTTTATTACGACGAAATAATGGCATAGTGATTGCACCATGTCGTTTGAATTTAGCGCCTAAATATCACAATGAAAAAAAAATCTTTGATAGAAACAAAAGAAAAAAAAAGCATTACCTATGTTACAAATAATACTGTCAGGAACCAATATACTGACCTTTTCTAAAAATATACTTCCTTGATCATATTTATTTCGATTATTAAAAATATATTGAACATCATCAATATTATGTACGATAGTATATCGTGTAAAACCCACCCAAAATAAATAAATATCACCAAAACGTTCTTTGTAAGATATATAAACGTCAGAAATTGGTTTAGAACCAAATAATAAGCCTGATTGAATTAAATTTCCAAAAAAAGAAATGTGGTGGTTGACCAGGCACTGGACCACGAAGTGTAAAATATTTCAATTTCATATATATTAGCCATAAGATGGCGAAAAAAATAACTAAGAAAACGAACATTTACGATTGTGTTGTATGAGAAAGTGGTTATGTATAAATATGTGATACTAAATGAAACGATTGCGCGCACATGTTTCTTTTCGTTTTCTTTCTTTATCGTTTCCTCTACACGCACAGAGCAGACGAAGTCCACTCGATCATTTACAAATAGACAGAGAAGCAGAATGAATGAATCGACAAATATATACCTAAAAAATATTAAAATCAATGCAATTTAAGGATCAATTTTCTTTTTCTTATTAAGAGTGTGTGTGGATAATGAGTGAGTCACTCGCACCCACACCCTCAAGATGAAAATTATCTAACCATAAGTTGTTTATGTTGATGATGGATCTAATAATTTCCTATATAAAAATGTGTTGTGCTCACATAATCATTTTGTAGAGGATCAACGTAAGAAAAATACCAACACATAAAGATATGATTAATGAATCGTATTATTTTTTTATTTTCTTGGTATATAGAAGGAGAAAAGACACAAGAATAATTTGCTTCTAATAATGAATGTTTCACGTTAAACATAGATGCGTCCTATCAAGAATGGTGAAAAGGACATTAGAATAGCATGTATAGAAAAAAAAAGAAATAAAAATAGATTTTTTTAGGATTTTTCACACAATAATCAATTATAATCGGATTTTTAGCTATTTGTTTACGTGGGAGACTGAGAAACGAAACATTGTGGCAATATATATCTCATGCCATAAAGAATGCTGATTCCGTTTCATTTCCTCACGTTCTACTGATATGGTTGAGTATCTCAAGAGTGAATATTGTAAAGAGAAGGATGATTCTTGTTTTATAAAAGAAAGAGAATAAAGAATGAAAAAGAGCGATAACACGAACGAGACCTGTTAATATAAATCCACATGCGAACCTCGGTACGATGCTTTGATATTCTTTTATATTTCGATCGAAATTGTTTTAATATTTCTCTTTTTTCTCCTTCAGTGATTTTTAGTTTTTTTTTCTTAATTCAAGTGAAGCGACAAGGTTTTTTTGTACATTCATTCTCTCAAAATAACATCTATTGATAACGAAAGAATCCACTAGTTCTTAGTATTCATCGTGTATATAAGTTACTTAAAATAAACTTTTTTCATTTGATTCAGCATATATAACGAGAAGTTTTTATACACACTGAACAACTGCAAATAAGTATAAAACAAATTAAAGTAAGAAAAAGTTGATTAAGCCAGATAATCTGAAAAGTTGTTTTATATGTTATTAATAGTTTTCACAAAGGTCGTTTTAAAGAAATTTGAACTGTATTTTAAGGCGGTTAATACTAATATCACTTTAAAGTCTATATAAGTATGTGAATTTTGTCTATTTTTCACTTGTGTTGAGAAAGATTGATATGAAAATCTGTCACATTATGTAATTACTATTAGTAAAATTAGATTTAATTTTTTTATAGAATCTATGGAATTGTCGAGACCATCACTTGTGTCTATCTGTAATGGTGATGAATGCGCTTTCCTTTCTTGGTCGTCGGTAATCAACGCGACTCAATATGAAGTTGAAGTTAAACATAATAACACTGGAGTAACAACTCTTTATTGTACAACTTCCACAAGTTTCTTAATCACAAAATTGGAAAATGGAGAATTTTATATAGTTCAAGTAACGGCATTAAATAATATTGAACGAAGTGAATCGTCTATTGGTGTTATGTTAAGACCAAAATTACGTCAATCTTTATCTAAACTTTTCGCTAGGTCCACTGAACAACAAGGTCGAATTAGACTACAATGGACGTCTACTCCAACTGACTGTGGTTTTCAAATCGAACGATGTAATATTGGTGATACAAGCGGATATAAGCGTATCGCATGGCTTCCATTTAATAACATAATGGTATATGAAGATCAAACTGATTGTCTGCCAGAATGCCTTTGTCCTGGACATTATTATACAGTTGCATTTCGTGATACAGCATGGTCATCTGGTGCAGGAGTATTAAGTAAAAAAGTTTTTTGTACGGTGTCGTCAAATTCAAACTCTATTAAAACATCTCTAATGCTGCCAAATGAAATATCAGGTTCGTTAAGTTTTTTCCTCAATATTGTTTTGAATTTTTTACAACCGACGCGTTCTCTAGTGCTTCTACAGCATCTTTTATCACCATCATGAGAATGGGTGCCGGTATAAGTGTAGATGAGAGTGTGTGTGGAGTGAAAAAGAAACGGACTCACATCTATATTTACTATATTTAACTCACACCTATTACATTAACCATGCCCCCGCCTACTAAATCCATCCCATCCCCAACGACGCTCATCCACGTCCGCATTCACCCTTAAGAGCTCTACTTATGTTACAACTAACTTTTCTCTCTTGCTCTGTGTGAATATATGTGTGTATATATCCATTCTTCTCTGTTGTAGGTAGAGGTTCATCATATGGTACAAGCAATGCAACAATAATACACATCATAAAGGTACGAGTTCGTCCAACAGAGGCCATATGCCAGTTGGAGACTTCTGATGAAGTCCTTATTGGAGATTTTTTGACTGATGTTTGGTTGAAATCGGGTCTTGATCAGCCGTCCAACCATTACTATCTGATGTTTGCCGGACAAGAACTCAACCTCGATGAGACCATAAGAAATTCGGGTCTGCTTGATGCAGTAGGCTGTAATGATGAAAACTGTCCTGAACTACGATTAAAATTCTTATATAAACTTGATGAATCGGCTCATCTTGCAACAAATATCGTACTTACTTCACTTGAAGAACTTGTTTATAAAGATGTTTTCGAAATATCCTATTGTCCAACACAACAACAGATCATGCCTGAAATCTTAGAACCATCGGTGAAAAGAATTAATGAAAATAAATCACAATCCTTAAAATATTCATTAAATCTAATTTCGATGCCTGTTTTTACGAAACAAGTGATCGATGAGTTGCCATCATTGTATGTTACTGTACCACTCAAACCAACTGAATTTGACTCGAATGAATTTTTACAATGCTTAGCCAAGGATCTTGAAATTGATCGAAATGATATGTTTTTAATGAATGTTCAAGAGGGTAGTACCAGATATCAGATCAAGTTCAAAACTAAAATATCATTATGCCTAGAAAAAATGAAAAAAATTGCTGAGAAAATAAAGGTGATCGTTCTTCCATCAAGCAAAAGCGCCGAGTTCATTGCTAGACAGAAATCATTAGGAAACATTGAAGAAATTCCGAGAATTGATATCAAATTAGATGACGTGGCTGAAAATGCAGACTCTGTCTTGGCCAAAACATTGGCATCTGATGATATCGATGCGACTCTTGCAATTATGCAGCGACCAGCAATTGTTGATCCACCTATATGGGAATACCTCACTCAGAAGAGTCGCAAAATTAGTAGTGGCATTTTACATGCTTTTCAAACATCGCCAGTTGAATATGTCATTGAAAGTATGTCACTTGTTCATAATGAAGAACTTTATCACAAATACAACAATTATGCAGTTGAGGGTGAAGAAGCGATACTCTTCCATGGAACGAAAACAGACTATCTCGACGGTATATTTAGTACGAATTTTAAGACTTTTTATACAAGCGGTTCACATCATATTACCGATTCAGGCTAGTACGGCCAAGGAACATATTTTAGTAGTTCACCAAAATACTGCGCTAGCTACGCTGGATCGAGTTATAACAGTATCACGTACTTAATATGCAGTCTAGTCAAACTCGGTAAAGTATACCATGTTAAAGATATGTTATATCAGGGGAAACCGATGCGTTCGGACGCGGACACTCATTATGTGAAAGTGGATACATCTGGTTCACCAACTAATGCAAAGCATTCCTTCTTCGAAGAGTTTGTTATTAAAAAGAGCGATCAGATTCTTCCACTCTATCTTGTTGGGCTACGCCGAATTCATCGTTTTGTTCTTTGGCGGGATGCCAAAATTAACAACAGTGAAAATGGTACTCTGTTCAACCAGATGAAGCAACGCTATAGTTTTAATGTATATGGAAGTGAAACATCTCTTGAAGCACTCACTATTCTCGGATGCAAGCTAGCTGATTCCTTCATGCAATGTGTAGTTGTCACAAATGGAGCCGATAACGGTAAAAATTTTGCACAGGAATGTCGAAACATACGGCCATCGGTGCCAATCATTGTCTTTTGCGCAAATGTGGATTATCACAAACAATGGGCAGAAAATATAAGCGGTAGTGACCAACCGCAAATTCAAGTTACCGGTAATTCAAGTGTCGTGTTCACCTTTATCAACACTAACTTTCCCAGTGGAGATGTCCCGGACAAAAACTGAAAACAACATATTTTATTTTACTTTTAGAGATTCATAGCCTTTTATTTAATGATGAAAGTTATAAAGAAAACGGGAGCAAGTCAAAAACATGATTTCACATGAAAGCTGATTAGGAAGAAAGAAACGGAGGGACGCATGACAGCTGTCTTATGTCTCAGAAGAGATTTTTATAAGGTTTATGAGTGTGGATGAGGATGAGGATGGAGGGTGGTATAGATGTGAGTGATAATGGAATGGATCACTCCGCATGTCGTCTTTTTTCTTGAAAAACGTCGATTCAAACTGATTTCTCATTTTCCATCATTTATTTATAATTTGTTTTATAAGACTGATGTTATCCGTCTTGAAAACGTTAAGTTTTACTTTAACAAATAAGTTTCAGTAGCGCACAACATAGTATTTTAGATTCGCGTTAGAATTTTCCATATTGGTTAATATGTTAGCTGATAAATATTTTTTGTGATGCCATCTTTAATATTTACTCAAAGTTGTAAACTAAGCAAAAACAACCGATGTGGTTGGTACTGGCGGTCCGAGCGCGTTTACATATAGGAGGAGACGCGTTTTTGACTCCAATGTGACAGTTTTGTAAGAGTTAAAAAACATTTTGGCAATGAGACGTGATAAAAATAAGATATGAAAGAAACGCCGTTAATCGACAGCTTTAGGTTGGTTTTAGTGGCATGAGTCAACATTCATACCCCACTCTATACATCATTCAATAGAGAAAATAAAGACCATGCATTTGATATATAAATCAAATTACAAAAAATGAACATGAGTGTAAAGACTGCTTAGATACATGTTACATACTATAGCCCTGTAATGAACAGGTCATGTTCAACTTCAAATTAGTCACGCATAGTCAAATTCAAAAGAAACGGTGTCAGTGGAACGATCAGAACTCAATATTGTAGGAAAAGAACGGTCCTGGATGACGGACCGATTTCCTCCTTATTGTCACGCCTCATTTGTTTAGGAAATACTGTTCATAGCAACGAATTTATAATGAAATGAATTTTTTACGCAATTTTAAAGGAAAAATTTTAAATTAATAACACTAAGCAAAGTTGATAGTGAGTCAAATGAATGCGAGTGACCTTGAGAGTAATCGATGAATATCGTATACCTATTTGTGTTTCGTTCTATCTATATATTCATTGAAAGTGCTAAGAAAAAACGATATTAAAAAGTTTCATTTCTGACACCTTCTGACTACATGGTTATTAAATTGATACGACAAACTATTACTATACAGTATTGATATGTGTATGAAGCTCTTGAACAATAGCATTTCGAGATACGTAATATTGAAATGAACTTTTATCGATGGATCCTAGACAAAAAAAATATTTAAAAAAAAAAGTATTATCAAAAATCGACGACTTAAGATTATATTTAATGTGTTAAAAAAATTTAATTAAATATTCAAAATGTATGTGATCAATGACATTTTTCGATTCTCTATTTGATACAAATCATTGAATGAATATTACAATAAAATAATCCTGTGTTCTTAGATGCACTTATGTATTTAAATGTTGAAATGAATAAATAATTGTTCTCATACTTTAGTTCTAATGTAAATATTCACTTTAGCTATCGAATATACATATTGTATAAGTATAGAAAAGAAAAAAAAACGTAACTTTCATGTGCTTTATGATTCAAACGCACATTTCATAACACAGTCGTCAACCACATGCTTTCATTACCTTTTTTCTTCTTGTTATAACAACAAGTATGGTAAAAGTAAGAGGAACATTTTTTGATAAAGATTAGAGACATCTTATTTAACAACGGATTTTTTACTTTTTTTTCGATATCAAAACGACAATTCATATAAACAATTTACTTGTAGATCGTAGTATATAACTTCGTCAATGCCATCTCAAGATTCTGATGAGACTATTGAAAAAAAATGATTGGAATAAATATATAGAAGCAGTTAGACAAAATAACATAAATTTAGTCGATCAATATATAAAATGTGGTGGTGATTTAAATTATCCAGTGGTACCTCAAGGTGCAATACATTGTGCGGTATATTTTGATTTTATCGACATCGTGAAGTTATTACTCGAAGCTGGAATCAATGTTAATCAACAAGATGAAGATGGTGATACAGCGTTACATTATGCAGTTGGTCAAACAAAAAATATTGAATGTATTAAACTATTATTACATTATGGAGCTTGTCCACTTCTTCCAAATAATTCATCAGAAAAAGCGACACCTATAACTGTGGCTAATCGTGCTGATGATAAACAAATCCTTGACATATTAACAGAAAATGTTAAACTCACCAAAAATTTATGTAAGGCAGCTGAAGATGGAAATGTTGAACTTGTTCAGAATTTATTAGAGACAACAGAAGTAAGTGTAAATGGATTATCAGATGAACTTTTGGCTCCAATACATGAAGCATCACTTGCTGGTCATTTATCAGTAGTTAAATTGTTAATTGAATTTAAAGCTAATATAAATGCAAAGGTAGTATCAGAAGCTGCAAAAAAACAATACACCATTACATTGTGCAGCAACAAACGGTCATCTCGATATTATCCAATATTTAATTGAAAATCATGCAATAAATGATACTGTCAATTCAAGTGTACACACACCATTACTTGGTGCAGTTATCATGGAAAAACAAGATGTTGCTGAGTATTTGATTAAAGCAGGAAGTAACGTACATGTACGAGATTCTATAGAAAAGACACCACTTCATTGGGCAGCCTTCTATGGATTAAATAGTATTATTTCGTTATTACTTGAACATGGAGCAGATATTAATGCATTGGATCATTTTGGACAACCTCCATTACATTGTGCTGTAGGATATCCAATTCGTGTAGAAACTATCAAATTATTAATAGAAAAAGGTGCCAAGGTTAATATTATGAATGATATGGGTATGACAATTTTTGATTACTGTGTTAATAACACCCCAGATGAAATTGATCTAATTGAATTTATTAGAAAACGTAGCGAATAAATTTTTTCTCATATTAGTTTACTTTTTTTTTTATAGAATTAGAAATAATAGATGAATGTAAAATAAATAAAACTCTATATATGATTCATAAAGAATCGATTATTTTCTTTCTTACTTATATTTTATTGTTTGAATTTTGGTTCTTTTTATGAAACGCTCGATATTTAACGCAAGTATAATCATCGTCAATCAAATAACAAAATGCAATATCTCGAAGATCTTTACTTTTCATTTCGTGAGATACTAATACAAACTATATCTGAGATTAAATATTTGGTTCACGTGAAGGGTTGGTACTTATTTTGTAAAAAAATTCAGCTCGTTGTTAGTGATTAGATCAATTGCTATTGCAAAGTATCTTCGATACTATTATTAAATGTTACTATTTCGTTCTATCATAGCACATCGTAGAGGTTCACAATGTGATTTTATGATAAATTCATATATTCATGTATTTTACTATGTAAATACAACACGCAAGTAGATAAATCAATGGTTTTTAGATCATTTAATCTACGATGATAATATTTCATCTCATAATAATAAATAAAAGTAGAATACTTTTTATCACGCGATATAATCTATTTATTTTATTTTCAACATTAATTTCTGTATCAATTGCATTGTTATAAACTTTTTCTCGTTACATCGAACAAGATGATTTCAATATGCTAGAAAAATATGGTATCTATCAAAGAGAACTTGTCGTTTAACTGAAACTATTGAAAAATGACAGCCAATTATTTTAAACGTACAAGAGTCATTTGATGAACAATTATTACATAGGTAATCTTATCTACCAAAATATTATTAACATATTGGTTATCAACGTGATGGTACTAAGAAAAATATAAATTGAACATTTATAATCTCATGTGGATTTTATACTATAATCAAGTGTTAAAATTAGTAGAAGATGATTATATCTGACTATCAAAATTACCACGAACTATTGGAAGTAGAGATTGAGATAGTAATGGAGCACGATTTAAATTAATAACTGATGATAATTTGACAAATATTCTTGTTTTTAATACTCATTTAGACATTAAAAGTGAAAAAGCACAACACCAACAAGCAAAATCCTTCGTTTAATAATCAACCAACGGCAAAAACAATATTCACCAGATGTAATTTTATTACTTGGACAGAAAGTAAAGCTCATACATCATCCGTATGTATGTCGACTGATCAATATCTCTGAAATGCTATCATTATGATTGTCACATCGATTTCATGTTGACTGGATTTTATATCAGTATTCAATGACTGGAAGCAAATATTTACAACCTCAATTTATATCTGTCATTGATATTCGATCTAGAAATTATTTTTTTCGATCGTTTTTCAGTGCTTGCTTTATTTAAATTAGAAAATAATATATAAAAATAAATTATAGTTGATGGTAAGTTAAATAAGTAAGATTTTTTGGTTAAGATGAATTCTTCTACTTCATTAAATCATTCAATAAACTGCTTATTTACATTTAAATTATTCTATTTCTATTATTGCTCTTGAAAAGAGAAAAGCTTATCAAATATTATTTTTAATAAATATAATTTATTTACTTACCCTTGAATAATTATGCGAATAAATAAAAAACTACTTCCTTTTTGTCAAATATATAAAATCATAGATGAGAATCACATCTACATTCATTAAAATATTATAATTCGATTGATAATAAATGCGTTTTTCATCGACAGTTTTTGTTCTGGTCGTAGTGATTATTGGCTTAACACTGATAAATTTTACTACAGGTATCATTCAATTTTGTTTTATCGTAATATAATCAGTACTGTTAATTTTTGTAGGTGAAGAAAATGATGGAACTGAAAAACCTCCAATACAAGGACGTATAAGTTTGCGATTACTATGGAAAGTAGTTAAAACTTTAATGAGACCCACCTGTTTGGGTTGTGCGGGGATATGTGAACGCATGAGTGAAACTCCTGGTGAGTGTCGATGTTATGTCGATGATGCTTGTCTTCAAAGACAGACAGGCTAAATACTGAATTTATTATGTTTATTTCTAATGCTGTTCTAATATATTCAGCTAACTAAATAATCAACAATAAAATTCTATATAAATATACTGAGTAGAAGCTCAGGTTATATCATTTTTCTTTGATATATAAAATAATGAACTGATTTTTGTAAGAGAAACAAATGAATATTTGTCCTTGTAAAACATCTGTTAATATTCTCATATGCTAGCGCATCGTCGATCGGCATGTCGTAACGATTTCTGAAATTATAAAATCATCAGAATGGATTATTTGAAAATGGTAAATGCAAATAAACGATGTGAGATGAAGTTAATCGATACGAGTTAATATCTTCTTTACTCATATAAATTTTTAAGCAACAGTAGCAGAAGTATTCAAGAATTACTATTATATAATATTTAATACTCAAATTATTTCAGAAATTTAAGAAACAATCATTGAACAATACATAAAAAACTGCACGAAATATGAGAGATGTTCCTCAATGACATATTAATCATTTCGTTATTCTATCAAATACCTTTGTTTTGCTATGATTGTCTCTCTGAATGGGTTATTTTTCGTTGTTTCTTCTGAGCAAACAAACTAATAAATAAAGTCCAGTGTAATGTAAAGAAAATGTCACAAGCATTGTTCCATTTTAATTTATGTGTCAATCGCTTGTGTAATGCGATAGTAATTAAGATATAAACACAAAACGATAGACAAAGATGAAATAGATATAATTGGTACTAGGTAATTCAAATCTAGACTGATATCATTTACAGTATTTTTTCTATTTTAGATGATTAACGCATATTTCTTGTCGATTGTACATATTTAATCAGATAACCTAAACATCATTCAAGATAAATACTGACTAAAAGATTAAAATTGAAGTTCGAATTAGTTCAGACTTATTTAGATATTTCATTTTCTTAATTTTTACAACATGTTTTACATGAAATATTAATTGATTAATACTAAACAAACATATCCAAGTAAAACTATTGCGAATAATCAATAATTAATCATTTATATAAAACATATGAAAATTTGAAATAATTAATTATAATAGATAATAGCAACAGCATTTTCCTGATATTCACAGAAAAATGATATAATATTAATATGAATTCAACGAAAGAAAGAATATTGTTAGACAAGTTTCATGCGGATAATCGAATATGTAACGATTTGTTTTTCATCTGCACTAATGTTTATAATATTAGTCATGCGTGGGAAGTTATTTGTAAGAATTTATCCTGAAGAAAATTAACTAAATCAGTTTATATATTTATTTGTTATGTTGTATGATTTAATGGCTGCAAGTATTCGAAATATGATCTATTTTAATTTTTTCTCTATTAACAAGATCTATAGAATTTTATAAAATAAAATAGATATGTATCGTCGAAGTATACTATCGTATTTCTTCTGCACATTCAGAGAAGCGTTAGTAATATGATTAACCCAAAAACTGAAAAAAGTACAAGTTGATTGTAATAAAATAATATTTGATGAAAGTAATAAAACACTCAACTATGCATTATTGTACTATTACAACAAGGATAAAATTTAAGTAATGACTCAACAATAATTACATTAAAATATATTGCTTATATGAATTGATAATTATGTTTTATTTCATTCTATAGTTTTAGATAAAATGAGTATGTCTATCGACGTAAAAGATTATATTTTTCTTTTTTTTTTTCTCGAGAAGCCACATTGAAAGAAATGAGATCATAAAAAGAAGGAGTTATAATCTCTATCATCATAAGTATACTATTATAAAAAATTGAAGAGAATTATACGACAATTTCAAATGAGTCGAAACTATGTACGACGACAAATATCTAGTGGTCGAAGAAAATCAACAACATTACCCGTCTTCCTTCACGAACAAGAAGAAATTGAAAATGCTCGTCGTTTAAGTACTTGTGCTAGTCTTCAACGAAGATTATCAACTATTTCACAAATAGTTTTACCACATGGAGATGAATATCATCCACAACAACATGTACCACCTTCAGGTCCTGAAGCTCCACAATCAATTTTAGTAAGATCTACAGACGATGACAATAACGTATTCCCTTCACGTCGATTATCAACAATATCACAAAAATTTAATGCTCTTGATGAATCTTTTACTTCAAGTGAAGTACATAAACAAGAAAAATTAAATAAATTTCATCGAAATTTTTTATTTATTATTGAACCTATTCTAAGTGGTATATTCTTATTTCCAATACTTGTTTTATTTTGGGAATGTGGTTGGAATTTAATTTTAATACTTCTAAATCGTTTAAATGGATTTCCATCAAATTTACATTTAGATGAAATTACTCAAGAAGATTTTGAATCCTATACATTTCTTTCATTATTTATTCCATATTTAATAACAGAAATTATACTTTTATGTTATTATCTTGGTCAAGATTTTTTTCATGAATTTTTAAAAGAAAAACATTGGTTTATAAAAACAATTCTATTAAAATTTCATATATTTCTATTAGCATCACTTTATATTGTTCAATGGGAAATGTTATGGACTCTATGGGATCAATTTACGCCACATGAAACATATTTTGAAGTAACATTATCAATAGCAGCAATATTTGCATTAATTGTTTTTATTGGACATTTATCGGATTTAGTTTGTTCACCATTTCTTTTTAGTTATGATTCAATTGAATATTGTATTTATTTCGGTTGTCCACTTCTTACACGAAATGTAAACTATTTTCTTCTATTTTATTTAAAATAAATTTTTCTTTTTCTTTTTAAAGATGAAAATATGGAAAATAAATGTTATTAATTATATATTATATGAAATAATTATTTCGAATTTATCAATAATGATATGGAGAGGTTTTTATCATATTCTTGATGATCATTTTTATCCAGATAATTTAACATTATCAGCTGGTCTTTGTTTAATTATGGGTTATATACTTTATTTTCCATTGATGTATTTTCAAAACTATTTAGAAGAATTAAATTTAAAATTTGAATTTTGGACATTTGTTTCAATAAATTTTCCACAATTTTATCGAAATATTCGTCATTTATTAGCATTTTTTTCTTGTCTATTTACTTGGCGTGGTTTTTGGGTTTTATATGATACTTATATATATGTATATGATGATTATTATATAACATACCTAATATTTTATATTGTATCATTTATAGTATTATGTATTTTTCAAACAGCATCATCAACAAATGGTCCACTGAGTAATATGGAAGATGAAAATAATTTTTTTCCACTTTATCCACATTGTTATATATCGATTGTTCAAAGAAAATTATCTCGACTTCCATGTTTTCAATCAAAAGACGAAGAAAATACACACCTTTAAAAGAATTTCTTATTTGTATAGTCAATCAAACAAAGACAATAGACATTCTTTTCCATAAAAAACAATCAGATAAATTATCAATTAACTCAAAGGGTGTTTTCTTTCTACGAAGATAATAAATTCAAATATTCATGAACCAAAACAAGAAAATATATTTTGAATTATTTTAATCAATAAAATCTTAATAAAAAAAATTATAAGCTACTAAATCTTGAGGGTGTGGATATATGATTGATCTGATCAAGCACACCCACCAGTGGCGTACGCAGGGGGTGCGCCGAATGGGCCCGGGCCCACCCCTAGAATTTTGCCGATGAACTTGGTCTTACAGTAGTTTCTTTTTTTTTACAGCTGAGCTTTATAATAGAAGTTGATGAATAAATACTAACAACTTTAGTGAAAAATTAGATCAAAATTCTTTTCCAACAAGTTCCAGTTTCTATAGAAATGGGCCCACCCCTTAAAAAGTTTCTGCGTACGCCACTGACACCCACACCCACAACCCACCCCTAGTTATCAGTAATGAAATAGTTGAAGTATGATCTTTTTTATCTTGATTTAGTGAACCAGAAAAGAAAGTGCTCCATTGAAAATTGTTCAAACTAATGATCATATATTTTTTCTCGTGGATATTTCATTTGATAAATTAATTGATAAAAATTATTTTTATTTTATTTATTGTTTATCAAATTAATTATATATCATAATTTAAGAAAAACTGTTCCGATCATTGAATAAATACATTTGTAAAAGATACAACACCAACAAAAAGCACTAAAAAGAAAATAAACAATAAATATTTTTATTATAAGTTTTAGTTTGGTTTATTAACTTACTCATAAATGACAATGTAGTCTGTGTTTTTGGTATTCCATTTGTTACTATTGCTAGAATGAAATATGATTTCAATAAGAGAAAAAGATTCAAAATTTGTACTGACTTGGTAATGAACTGGATGATTCACCTCCAACTGTGAAATATGCACAACCAAGAAGACCATTGTTACAATCTAATTCAATTTTGAGTAATTTTCCAGCAAGATATGAGGCTACATAATATTAAGTATATATACATTTATTTCAATAATTATACTAACCCAAATAAGCATGATTTGATTGAATAGTACGTGCAAATAACTGATCATGTTTAGTAGCATATATAATATCTGTAATTGATGTGTTTTGTTCATTCGAGTCGATATATGTAGTTAGAAATCCCTCTTGACTCGGTTCATAGTAAGAAAATCCACGACTATTGCATCCTTGACCAGCAGCTAAATTTGATCCATTAGCAAAACGAATTGGATTATTTTTATTAAGTTGAACATCACCTGGACTATTAGGTTGAGGTGGAGGTAAGGTAAATGATGGATAAAATGGATCTGTAAATGCATAGATACATTCTGTTATATGATTACCTGAAATCAAAAGAATATATGATTTTATCATTGAATCTTATATGAAATAGGAATCGATTTACCTTCTATTGTTTCTGCATTTATTATTCGAAACATCAATAAAAATAACGTTAGTAGTATTCTTATAAAAATCATATTACTTTTCATGTAGAAAATCTTTACTTACACGTATAATAGAAAAATAAAAAAAAAATCTTTTATGAGATAAATAAAATAAAACATTCGTAATCTTTTATTTTTCGTTTCTATTCATGATAATAAAAGTAGTATAGATATATCTATATCAGCAAATAAAAATAAAGATTTACAGATTGTTATTACTCAAAGCAATTTGCTTTTAGTTTTTTATCTCTATGAAAACATGAAGAATAAAAATAGTAAATGTTAACATATCTTTGAAAAGTATTTAAAGAATTTTCATACTGAATAAATAATATTTTGTAAAATCTGTTTTGGTGCTGTGTGCAACTGGAGAACGGGTTTGCTGCGGACATTATCAATGAGTCATTGAAAGCGGTCTCATACATGATTTACTTCAAGTAAAAGAACTCGCAAAAGAGTAACTGTATTTTTTTATTAACGATTATTCTTTTTAAAAATATCTTCTGATTAATATGAATTAATACAATTATTAAATATAAAACAATATTTTTATTAGTAATATAAGATATGATTACAATCAAACAGTTATTTGCACACTAATCAATTATTGTTCATATGCAAACAGAATATCTTTATCATAGTTTTTGATTCCGATCAATCAGTTTTATTATTATATCTTCAAGTTTGTGGTTTATTTTATTTTGTGCGAGTTCTAAGATGATAAGTGTCTATCTAAAAAAGTATTAATGAAGATAGAAAAAAGATTGAGAAAGTGAAAATTACCATATTATTTTGTAATGCATCAGCCAGATGATGTGCTCCAATATCTCCTATTTGATTCTGTTCGAGAAATAGTTCAATAAGTGTCTATGTGAAAAAAATGCAGATAAAGATATAACACACATGGAAAGAGAGTAAGCAATACTGTATTAATTCTTAATGAATCAGCCAGATGTTGAGCTCCGATATTTTCAATTTCAGTCCCGTTGAGACTTAGTGAAATGAGTGCCTAGGAGAAAGACTGCATATGAACACATGATATAGATAGAGAGTGTATGAAATTTACCATATTATATTGTAATGCAGTAGCCAAATATTGTATTCCAACATATTCAATTTCATTCTTTTCGAGATATAATTTGGTCAGTGTCTATGTAAAGAAGATGTAGATGAAGACGTAATCTACATGAAAAAAAGATTGAAGATCACTGTATTCTTTCGTAATGTATCAGCTAAATGTTTTGCTCCAACATCTCCAGTTTGAGTAAGTCTAAGATTTAATGTGATGACTGTCTGTATAAAATATTACGGGTGTCAATATGAGATAGATGGAAAGAGACTAAGGCATCAGCTAGACATTGTACTTTCACAGTTCCAATTTTATTGGATTGTAGATTAACTGAGATGAGTGTCTATGATAGATTCTATCTCAATTTGTTCATTCTAAATTCTTATTTATAGTAGAATTTTAAACTTTATTTCATTAAAGAATAAATTAATTTAACAATTATTAAACTCTCCCATAAAAATATTCTTTTATTTTTTTCTTCTTATCTATACATTACACGTGGGCTGATGAAGAAATAATATATGTAATTTCAATAAAACATTTATAAAAAGAAAAATAATTTAATAAGTCATTTCTTCGCTCATATTTTATTAGATTATAAATTATAAATAGTAACTATCAATAATTTTATTTAATCGTTGACAAACATTTCTCATTGAACATAGAATAGTAAAACCATTTTGTTGATCAAGAATTCGATAGACAAGTTCTACCGGTATTGTAAGAAAAGACATTGGATCTAAAACTTCTTCAATTCTATTGTATGTTATTTCAAATGTTGTTGTTCTTTCTTTTTGATGATGGAATTACTTGTTGAAGGAAAAATAAGATTTAAGATAAAATAGATTTTGAAAAACAAATATCTCTACAGAATTATTAGTATATATAGTGCAAAAAAAACAATCAAGGTCATATATTTATTGAGTACAAAATAATACATGTATTGGAATTACTATTTTTAAATAGAGATTATATTTTAATTGGACTGTCTATGACTGTTGAATTAAAATATATAATTACAGTTTGAGAGATATTCTACGAGGATAATGATGAGATTGTTTGTAATCTTACCATTAAATGAAGTTTTCTTTTGCGTCGTACACAAATGATAAAGTGGTTTTTTTCATATTTTCGTATTAGACATGTTGTATTGTAGGCATTATTTTCATTTTATAATGAATCTTGATAATATCTTTTTTTCCTTTAGATCAATTAATAACAATGTCATCACAATCTAATTCTACTATACCATTGGTATTAGTACAAAAACAATTATATAGATTTGGTGGACCTATTTTAATGATTTTCGGTACTGTGAGTTCTATACTCAGTTTAATAATTTTTCTTCAAAAGAATTTACGTAAAAATCCCTGTTCAATTTATTTAATAGCATTTAATATTGGTAATTTATTTCTAATTTATACATCATTATTTTCCCTTATATTAATAAATGGTTATAATATGAATTCTAGTTTGTATAATTTAATTATTTGTCGTCTTCATTTTTATACAATGCTTATATTCGGTGTTTTAAGTCCATCTTATTTAATATTAGCTTCTATTGATCGAATCTTAGTTACTTCACGATATGCTATAATGAGATCGAAAAGTACTCATCGTCTGGCTTATATATGTATTATGATTGTAACATTACTTTGGTTGTTATTTCATAGTCATGCATTAGTTTTAACAAATATTATCGAACCATTACCAAATTTTTTTCGATGTTATTTTCAACCTGGAATCTATCTAGTATTTATAGGTTATTATTCTTTGATCATTAAAGGAATTTTTATTCCTCTATTGATGATTATTTTCGGATTGTGGACTGTGAAAAATATTCGAAGTATTGGTCGTATTGATCCTCGTCCTGTTTTAATAATTACTAGAAGAAAAACTATCGGTGGTTTATATTTAAAACATTCAAAAGATCGACAATTTATCCAAATTTTATTTATTGATATTATAGTATATATTATTTTTAGTTTAATGATATCAGCCGTTTTCATGTACCAACAGTTTGCTCAATATAAATCATACAATTTGATTTCTGTTCAAATTCTAGGCTTTTTAACATCTATAGCTACTTTTAGTTCTTATATTCCATTCTGTTTTGGATTCTATACCAATTTCATAATGTCCAAGCAATTTCGTCATGAAGTTAAACATTATATTCTGTGTCAATAGAATGTGTGTGTGTGTGTATGAATGTGAATTATAAATTAGTATCTAACTTGTCTTAAAATGGTTAATTGTTATTCGTTGTTTCAATGTTGTGTTTAAAAATACTTTTATATCATTCAATATTGTTAATAAAAACTATTGAAAAAAAGAATTTGTTTATATTTTTTAATATAAAGAACGACTTAGACTTGCTATAGAGACGTAAAATTTTAAATTTGTTAGTTTAGCAATGAGAGTACTAGTTTGACTCTTACAAATGCTCTCAACTTCATTAACAATTAGAGAACAAAAGAAATAAAATGTTAATTGAATAATTTAATCAAAAATCTTTTTTCTTATAAATGATCAGAAGTAGAAATAATCCGATAATTACCAATAGTTGTTTGAAATAATAGTTTAGCCTTTTGACAAATTTGTTCAGCTGTACGTAATAAAGCTTTTTGTAATAAAATAAAATTTTGTTCGTCATTCTTTAATAAATGTATTAATTAATTCATTATCTAAATGTAAAAACTTTGATTTAAATTATCTTTCATACAAGTAGCGTGTGATGACTGTGGAACTTTTTGAGTATATATTTATTATGGTGGTGAATTTTTCATAAAATATAAAAATTGATTAGCTAATTCTTGTATGTGTTCACACACAGCTTTTATTCTTAAGAAAAAAAGAAGAAACATACAGTTTTTCAACAAAAAAACGTATATATTTTTTCAGTTTGACGATACATAACCATATTTTGTAATACCACAAAGATAAGAATTCATAATTTCCAGTCTTTCGTGTGCTGGGTAAGTCTGAAAAAAAAACATTTTATTTTTATCTATAATCTAACTACTATAATTAGTGGAAACCAACCAGTTTTCATTTGGAAATCAAAACGACCACGGCCGGTTCCATGGTATTCCGGAGATTTCATGGAAGCAGTATTCCCGTTGAACGGATCCGGTGACCGAATTTATCTAATTTATGCCGAAACCGACAGGAACATATCAAAGCCGGCAGCCGGATACGGTTACCTCACTTTTTCATCGGATTCCTAGCATTTTCCGGGCGGGTTACGCCCAGAAATGACGAGTTTCCTCAGGGATTTTGCCGGAAATTCATGGAATCCTGCTTCAGGAACCATCGTCCTGGGCTTCTTTAAAGAGCTCTCGCAATGCTCGTTCTGAATTGCCAACTAATGAATCTATTAATTCTGGACCATTAATTACTTTTTGTTCAAGACCAAAATACTCGCACAATGCACTATAAAATAAATTTAGAAATATTGACTAGATAAAAGCTAATTTAGAAAACATACAGTATAGTGCTTGTTTCGCCTGTACCAGGTGGTCCATGTAAAATAACACCACGAACATATTGCATTCCTATAAAAAAAATTGGAAATGATGTGATTATCAAATAGATGAAATTTACCTATTTCTCTACACAAGTCGGCAGAAAATTTTCGTGGTCTAAAAACTTTTCTTACGATTTCTTCAATTGCCGGTGTGCAACCAGCAAGTTTTAATTTTGTGTAATCAATTTGCGCCTTCTTGTTTATCACTGATGATTCGATACCTTCCACACGATATTTATGATTTAAATGAAGACGACGCAGCTTGCTCTATTGAAGAAAACAAAAAACAAATTAGATTGAAAAATAGATTACGATTGTTTGTGTTGATTTAAAAGTGAAAAAAGAGAATGTGATATGATATTACTTATATAACTGAAATATATATACGAAGAAGAATGA